CACACACCACAGGGACACCTCACCCCAAATACAACAATTTTGCTTATTGACGAAGCCATCAAGATGGAAAAGGGCCTCATAACTGAAAGTGATTTTTTTGGCCAAAACCAGTATTTTCATGTTGTATCTCCAACGCCCAATTAACGAACTCCCTTTGCTGTCTATGGTCAGCTGGCCTCAGCACCTGAGTCAAATCTTTTGTTAAAATTCGTTTGATAGTGGATTTGGACACATAAATTTGTCGTTCTCGCTCGTTATCGAATTGAGGTGGATGAGCGACAACGAACTGGTCGAAGTCTCGTTGTTGTCTTTACATCACTAGCGGACCCAGTATCGGGAAATTTTTTCAATTAATCTCTTTACAGTTAGCTATTTTATAGCATTATTGTAACCCCAAATTGATCGCAATTTGCGAACTGTAGCCGCAAAACTTTCACCATTTTGGTATTCGTGTACCACTCCATATTTACTAACATCATACCTTCTATTAGCAAACAATAAGAACTGTTTAAACGCCAAGCAATCGAATGGCGCCAAATTTCTAAATTGCGTTCTATTTGGGACACCCTTTATCTGGCCAGTTGCTTTCGATACCTTGTACAGTGGTTTGTTCGTCTATAAAAATGTCGGTTTTAACATGTCGGTGACTTCAAGGACTTCGAGCCCATCCTTGCCAATTCATTGGCCTTCTCATTCCCTTCAATATTACAATGACTTGGTAGAGTCGTGTGCCGATTTTTCAGAATCGTTCTACACTTCTGCACTGCATCACAATTGATAAATAGTTATTGATTTAGTTATTTCATTTTCCATAGTTTTAAACAATCCCTGCCTGAAAAACGCTGCATTTTCCATCCTACTTGTAGGAGTAGGCGAATTCTATTTGCTCACGGAAGTCTCCGGCTCCGGTACCTTTTTCCAACTTTGGTCCGTCAGTATACATCGACAGACCGATTAGAGGTAGCTTGGCTCAGTTTAGTTCATCTCTGCTTGAAACAGTATCTCAATACTGTCAAACTTTATGGATGTCGTTTATTACAAGCACTTGTAGTAGGAGCGACAATAACACAGCGAAGGTCACATAGCTTTCAAACACACCAACACGGGTTCTTTGTATGTAGTTTAACTCTGAATGCCCCATACGACGATATGTCCATATATTAGGGATTTATTCGCTAGACGAAACGGCTGAAGCTAGAATCTTGAACTCTATGTATGGTGCGTGTGATACGGCTCGGCTTTTGGAAATACATACTAAAAATACTATAAATTGAACACTTTGTATTTGACAAACGGAAAGAGCTAGAATTCTGAAATTTGGAATGAAAGCCGCTGATTGAGTGCAGGGTAGATGTAACAAGGGGTTTTTGGAAATTCGAAAAGTTCTAGAGCTAAAAACTTGAAATTTGGTATGAGAATCAAAAATATGTTAGATATACAGGGTGAGATAAAAAACCTGCAACCAACTTCAGACTGCTGTCATTTCCAAAACCACTCGTCCGATGGCTGTTAAAATTATACCAGTTCGTTATATTGTTCACAAGCGTTTAAAAGCATTTTGATGATAGTTTTCCAGTTAATAAATCTTTTGTGTCTCGTACCATTGCTCATTACCGTGATACTGGTAGCGTAGCCCGACGTCAAGGAAGTGAACGGAAGAAAACTGCAACATCGAAACCCGCGTCGCAGTGGCCGAAAATGACTCGTGAGCTGAACATATCGCAATATTCCATTCGGCAAATATTGAAAAATGGGTTCGGGGTAAAGCCATTGAAATTCCAAAAAATGCAAGAACTTACACCGTAACAGAAAAAAATAGACTCAAAAGAGCTAAATAGTTGTTTCGCTTGGCCGAAAGTTGTGAACTGCCGAATTTGGTTTTCTCCGATGAGAAAACATTCTTTGTCCAGCAGTTAGTAAACAAACAAAATGATCGTGTTTACTTGCCACCAGAACTCAAGCGCCGGCCATGGTGATGGTGTGGGCCGCCATAAAAGCCGATGTTCGCTCTCCACTCGTATTAATCGACCGTGGCATCAGAATAAATGCCGAATATTATCGCGAAAATATTCTGGAGGGAGTATTAAAGCTTTGGGCATGCAAACATTTCTGCCGCAGAATGGTTACAAAATGAGGTTCCTCGCTTCATTTCCAATGGCCACCAAAATCTCCGAAAATCAATCCATTGGACTATTGTGTCTGGAGTATTTTGGAAAGCAAGGTTGGCATTAAAAAATACCAAAATGTCGATCACTCAAGCGAGCGCTTTGCCGGGAATGGGCCAAAATACCGCAGAGCAACATTCGGGCAGCGTATGACGGTTTCATTGGCCGTTTGAATGCCATAATTCGTGCCAATTCGAACTAATCTAAACATATTCTAAAATTTGATGCTATTTCCGACATTTTTTTGCTTTCATTCAATAAAATTAAAAAAAAATGTAAAATTATGGCGTTTGACTTTGTTGCAGTTTTTTATCTCACCCTGTAAAGGTGAAAGTTTGGTTTATTGTGAACAGCTGAATTTTAAAATTATGTATTGAGAACGAAAATTACTAAATGGCATTCAATTTGGTATTGGGTGAAGGGATATATATACAACTCTGAAATTTAATATAGGGTTCACATCATGGTAGAAAAATACAGGTAACAGCAAGTGTTGTTGTACAACAATCGTGACAACAACCACAAACACTTTAATTTTTGTACGTATTATAAGTGTTAGTGTGAAAATGCAGAAGAATATTTCTTAAAATATTTAATTTTAATGCTTTCACATCATTCCCCTGTTAGCTGTTGGTCCTAGTCTCTCAACACTTCAAGCAATCGCTAGAAAATCGTGGAAAAGGCAACATCCCTTTCACGTTGAAACCAAACAGCATACATAAAGTATTGAACATTTTGCAATTTTAGGAAACATTAAATATACGAATATATTATCTAATGTGGTTTTTGCGGTTAAGGAACAGCGACCTTAACAGCAAAAAAGTTTCGGAACCATCGCCATTGGCGTTTTGTTAGGTACAATTGCGATTTTTTTTCTATTATTAGGCAAAAAATATGTTCATATTGCCCTGCAGTGAAATTTTATATCAAACCAGTAAAGAAAGTCTTAAAGTCGGGTGGGGCCGATTTTATGATACCCTACACCACTTTGCTAATTTAGTAGAGCTCCACATAACAATTAAAAGTTTTTATGGGAGAATTCAATCATACATCCTATGATTATAATTATAATTTAAAGTTCAAAGGACTAAATATGCCGAAGCATTTGTATCTTTTAAATTCGGACTTGTATTGCCCATTTGGTACACAATTAATTTGAAATCGGATAAAGATATATATGGGAGCTATATCCAAATCTGAACCGATCTCGATATAATTTGGCAAAGATATTTCTGAGCTGTATTTGATATATTTCCCTGAATATCGTTGTTACGTAGTGCATATTACGGTTGTGGGTAACAAATATAACAAATCGGATGAACAATATATATGGAAGCTATAGCTACATCTGAACCGATCTTCACCAAATTTGACATACTAGCTTCTAGACTCAATTCGGTCGTAAGTGCTAAATTCCATCCCATTTAGACAAATATTACACGTTTGGTGCACAATAAAAGGCAAATCGGACGAAGTTATATATGGGAGCTCTTTCCAAATCTGAACCGATCCCGATAAAGTTTAGCAAATGTATTTCTGAGCTGTATTTGACATATTTCCCCAAATATTGTTGTTGCAGAGTGCATATTACGGCGGCGGTGTACAAAAATAACAAATCGGATGAACAATATATAGCAATATATAGCTATATATAGGAGCTATAGCTATATCTGAACCGATTTCGATCAAATTTGGCACACATATTTTCAGGCCTAATTTGGGTGTATATGAAAAATTCCGTATTATTCGGGCTGATATTACACTTTTGGACGGACAGACGGACATGCATAAATCGACTCAGAATGTGATTCTATGCAGATCATCAAAAGGAACTATGGGTCTATCTCGTTTCTTTTTGCCTGTTACAAACAAATGCACAAAGACATAATACCCTGACCACCTTGTGGTGTAGGGTATAAAAAGGGTATACCTATTGTATATAAAAAATGGAATTAAATCACAAAACGTCATATCGACTTTGACAGCAGTATTACTATTACTATATTATACCATGGGTTCACATATGGAGACATTGAAATAGTTTTGGTTTTACAAAGATCCTCCTCTGTAAACTTCAAAATTAAAGTTTTTGAAGACTGTTTGCTGTAAACGATGAAAATTTTCCCATTATTCTTTCCGAAAAAGAAAACACTGGAACAGTGTTGGCATGTTTGTTCGAGATACCATAGTATTTTGTTGTTGCAAAATGGACAAGACTACTTATAGAAATTTGCTCATTTATCCGATAAAAGCTTCTGGCCGATTTCGTCTCATAAAAATTATTCGATTAGTACCATACAGGCTTGTAAGATTTACATGGACGGATACATAACTAGACCGAAAGACAAATTAATTTTGATATACGTAATAATAGTATACAACTATTATTTCGGTGTGTAATAAAATTTAAGGGTAAAACCGACAGATAACTTATAAACAATTTTAAGAGCGTAAGTTCTTGTTACCAGTGACAATTTTGCTATGCTGCCAAGAGATTTATTCAAATATTTTTAAAAGTGCTTACAATTCTTTATTGAATATTATTGCCATATAGGGCATTTATTGCAAACCTCCTGTTCGGGATGCCACTACTATCTACGCCCCTGTTCGTCGCGTGAAATACGTTCTACATTGCTCCTTTGTCTGGCCAGGCGACATTTGTTAAATTTATATTAAACCCCTTAGAAACACACTTTCTTCATGCTCTCACTGTCAGCCATCTACCGACTAACTTAACTTCAACTCCTGTACTTAGCGTTCTTTTCGCTTTTGTTTTTTATTTTGAACTGAACTCTTTAACATTTTTTCGTTTTTCTTCTTTTTTTCTATTTTTAGTTCAAAAAAATACAATTCACCCATAAATCGTACCCCAGAATACAACAACAGCAGCAGCAACAACCCCGTAACCGGTGGCAGCGGTAATGGCGCTGAACTTCATGAGCAAACTACAAATGCAATTCTTGCCGACGGTCGTTTAGGTTCGCTACATGAAACAGCGGCTGCAAGCGGCCAAAACAGCAGCACAACAGATATATCCTACCAATATCGGCATGGCAGTGAACACTCCTCGTCTAGCCTCCACTCACCGGTAGTACATCATCATTCCACCTCAAGGTCTACACCTACGCACAACCACAACAGTTATGACGGTGATGCTCATAATGCGGCAGATCCAAGTAGTGTTGTTGCCGTGTCGTTACCTTTGACCTCGCAGTGTCACAATTCGGTAATAATGTCCAATTCGTATATGGTCGCCTCAACACCTTCGCCTGGATCACATACAACACATTCACAGCACATACAACACCATCCGCATCAGCAACAGCAGCAACAAACATCTCAGCATTTAATTGGTTCCAACATACCCTCTATGCTAGCCAATGCGAATTCAGCAGCATCCTCGGCCACAATGCTCAATAAATATTTAACGCATCCGAATATGATGTCGATTGCAATGTCTTCGGATACCGAGGATTATGCTGGGCACATGGGTGTCGCAACATCATCGGCGGGCCTTGGTGCTGGCGGCGGCGCCGGTGGTGGTGTGATGTCCGGTACTCTAATGGATAGCCCCATGTGGGCCTATGATTACAAGGGTGAACTGTGTGCCGCCAATGCCAGCTATCTGGATCAACGTCACAAATTAGTCAACGAAGTTAAATTTCGTGCTGTCGCCAACAATCAGTCTAAATGTGCCAAAGAAGCTAGAATACGAAGGCCCATGAATGCGTTTATGGTCTGGGCCAAAATCGAACGTAAAAAATTGGCCGATGAGAATCCTGATTTGCATAATGCGGATTTGAGTAAAATGTTGGGTAAGTATGTTTGTATATTTTGTTAGAATGCATCTTAGATATTGTTTACGCGTTCTACTTCCCATCTTTAGTGTTCTCTAGGAATCTATTGGCTTAGACCATAGATATAGATTCATTCGCCACACAGTGGTAAGTGGTAATTTATCTACGTGTTTTGGCAAACAGCAAGACCTATAAATCTGCACTGAATCACGTTCTGATTCGTTTTATACATGTCCGTTTGTGTTTCCTGTATATTTATAATGAGAAAATGAAATTATTGCCCAGTTACACAGTTCAGTTCAAATAAGGAATAAATTTTCGCCAGATTTCACACCAAATGCAAAAAGAAACTTTAAGAAATTTTGAATAAAATCGATTCAAAAATGAGATATATCGGTGCACGTTCTGGTATAGTCCCCATGTAACGGTACCTCCCGATATTGGGAATTTTGATGATTTATGCCACATTTTTTCGCGGATTTGTCTGAAAATTGGTATTTGTAGGTCATAATGGGTTCCAGCTCCGGTGGCGAAACATTGCATGTATGGGTCCACGATTTGGTATAGCCCCCATATAACGGTACCTCCCGATATTCGGTATTTTGATGGTTTTTACCAATTTTTTTCACTGATTTGTCTTGAAAATGGTATTTGTGGACCAGAATTCGTCCTAGTTCGTGTGGCGAAACATTGTATGTATAGGTCCACGTTGTTTTTCATGATTTTTGCCACATTTTTTCACTGATTTGTCTGAAAATTGGTATTTGTAGGTCATAATGGGTTCTAGTTCCTTTGGCGAAACATTGCATGTGTAGGTCCACGATTTGGTATAGCCCCCATATAACGGTACATCCCGGTATTCGGCATTTTAATGGTTTTTGCCACATTTCTTCTAATGTTTCCTTTACCCTAAGGTGGAGGGTATTAAAAGTTTGGCCCGGCCGAACTTAATGTTTTTTTACTTGTTAATAGATAAATGAAAAGTAGAAAATATTATACAATTTATTTTTGTGCAGAAAATTGACCGGATCCGCGTTGCTGGTTCCCAGTTTTACTGTTTTGTGCTTATTATACCCTCAGCCACATTGCTAGAGAAGGTATATTTCCTTTGATACGGCCAAAACGTACCTCATCGAAATAACGATCTCTTTGGACCAAATCCATTTCAGGATATTTGGAGTCGATGTAGCGATGATGACGAATTTGTTTTTTTTTTAACCACAAAATATTTGTATATAAATCTATCTAAGTTAATAAAAGAGTAGTGAAATGTTTGCATACGGGTCGATCTTGGTGCGTACGCATGTTATAAGGCTACGTTTTTGGAATTACGTACTAAAATGGTATGAAAAGTATTAAAATGTTCTAAAATTTAAATACTTCGTATTAGACAAACGAAATGAGCTAGCTACGAACAGTTCCAAAATGTTACTAAACTTCTAAAATGGTACTATTTGGTATTATGTGAACGGATAGAGCTACAAACTTGACATTTAGTATGGAAATCACGGTTGGAAAGTAAAGGTGCAAATACATAAAAATCTTGAAGTCATAGCTAGGCATATTAATGCCAAATTATAATGGAAAACGACGGTAGTGCGGCTCTGTAATCCCTTTATGAAATGTCACAAAATATACCTAGCCATGACTTCAAGCTTCTTATGTAGTTACAAATTTAGTTTGATATATAAAGGTGGTTTTAAAAATATGTACTAAATGTGCGAACTGTACTAAATGGTAATAAATTTAGGACAGATAGGTTTAGGATGCCGGGATAAGCCAGAATTTTGAAATTTAGTATTGGGCTCCCTGTTGGCGGTAGTTTTGTGATAAAAATGTGGTTTTGGAAACGTGTGCTACAGGTGCACGGAAAGTACTAAATAGAACTGTATTTGATACAATTTTGTATTGTGTGAACAGAGAGTGCTTGAAATCTGAAATTGAAAGAAAATTTGCAGCGACTCTAATATTATTAAATTTGAATATTACTAAATTTGATGAATTACTAAAAGATTACTTGATTACTAAAAGACAGATGAACAATTAATAAAAAAAATTAATTAAATTTAAATTAAATCAAGTAAGCAAAGGCTACAGGCGAGCGGGGCCGACCGTTCAATACCCTACAACACTATAATAAACGATACAGTTTATATAGGCGAGATACTCGAAAGAATTCCACAAGATATTGTGAAAAATAATAAAAGAAAACCATCAGGATTCGTTCTCTAATTTTCGAATAATAGCAACTTAAACTAATTTGTTCATTTGCAATTTATTGGTAGATGTTGCACTTAAATGGTCTTCCTAGATCTGGAACCAATATTTCCCAAAGTCCTATAATCTCTCAGAAGTGGCAAAAGATTAACATTTATTATTGGTTTTTGACTGAAACGCATCTATATGAGATACAGACATTTGACTATATTCTTCAACGAAATCAGCGTTAACGAAATAGTCGGAAGTGCGTCTTTCCTGTATTTGTGACTTCTCCAAAAAGTCACTGGAATGGACATTTTCGTATTTTGTCTACAAAAGTTGGCAAACTATTTCACACATTGAATATTTTTGGATGGCCATCCAAAACTGCTTGGCTTTTGCAATGTCCAGTAACCCCCATTCAAATGTGCGTGAGGATCGGGCGATATTACGACATGCTGACAATTTGGCAGTTTTTTGGTCCATTTCAACCCCTATTCTGACCCTCATCTTATCCCCATGCAAAATTTCGTAAGGATCGGGTCATAAATGCGATCTGTATATGATATCCTGATATTCTAACTACTTAGTTTTGTTAGCTGTAGAAATATTACCAAATGTTTAATTTAAACTATCGAAATCAGTTAAGCCGTTCTCGACATATAAGATATCTTTCAAGCATATCTTCTTTGATAGACATATATATCGCACATATTTTGCTATATATCCAAGTTGTTGGATGTTAACATCAATGTAAAGATCAGAAGTAACCTTGTCATGGCTTTGTGATTTTGCCGGGATTTAAAATATTCGCGGTTTAATGAAAAATTTTGAATTTTTTCAACACAAAATATATGGTCTATTTTACCCGCTAAATATTATTTGATGACCAAAATTGGTAGGCTTCTTCCCCGCCCTAAACTCTACCTACATGCGAAATTCCGCGTCGATTGGTCTATAATTGCGAGCTGTATAGCTACTGCAAAATCCGGCATTTTTTCAGTATTTGGTCCATTTCAACCCCTAAACATTTGGCGATCATCTTCAAAAGAAATAGGTTTCTATTCTGACTCTAACTCCACATTCGTGCAAAATTTCGTTAGGATCGAACCATAATTGCGACCTGTAGCGTGATTACAAATTAACATGGACAGACGGACAGACGGACGGACGGACATACATAGCTAGATCGACTAAGCTCGGCGAGCTAGGAAGATCCATATATACTTTCCTATGTGGGAAACCAGTATTTCGAGGTGTTACATAAATTCTGGCACAATCAAACTTACAATACCCCCAACACATAGTGTTGTAGGGTATAAATAGAATGTATTTTTGTAGTAACATTCATGAAAATATTTTCCTGATATATTTGGAAATAGAGATTTCATTTTCTAGTTGACTTGTAGTGGAATTTATTGAAGAATAATTTAGCCTTTCATGCCGTCGTTTTAAGGAGTATTTTGAATTCCGGACATTAAAATAAGATTTTGACTATTTGACCCAAGTAAATTTGTTGAATACCATAACTTGCGTTAAATGTATGCATTCCAAGGAATCTTTTTAGATTACTTTGTTATGTAAACTTTCAAAATGCCAATACACGTAACTTTCAGTTTTAGCTCTACTTTCACATTGTGTTGCACAGTGTTATTTTTTCATATCTAATTTTTCTGAACAACTTTTTTCAAAATATTTGTAGGCGAGAAAGAAAATTCTTTCAGTCCAAATTGTTAAGTAATTTTTCTGAACAACTTTTTTCAAAATATTTGTAGGCGAGAAAGAAAATTCTTTCAGTCCAAATTGTTAAGTAATTTTTATTGGAAAAATTATCGTACACATATATTTTATATCCAAATTAATTACATTTTCTTCTTCATTTTTTTTCTCCTCAGGTAAAAAGTGGCGATCTCTAACACCTCAAGATCGTAGACCCTATGTGGAAGAAGCTGAACGTCTCAGGGTTATACATATGACGGAACATCCCAACTATAAATATCGTCCACGGCGAAGGAAACAATCAAAAATGCGTTCCCTGCAACCCAATGGCGTGGCAAAGGAACAAAATGGAACCAACCCCAATGGGGGTCAATCGCCCAATAAAAGCGCGAATAACCAACAAAAATCGGCGGCAACACCACCCTCAAACTCCATGTCTTCGGGGACATATGAAACGAGTTCAAATCAAAGGAACTCCACACCACAAATACAATTACCACCGACAAGTGGGGCCGTCACCACCAGTCTTTATGAACAGACCTTAAGATCGAACTATTCTCCCAGTTCTTTGGATTGTTATAGTAATCCGGAATTAACAGGCGGCGGAGGAGGAGCGGGAGGTGGTGGAGCTGATAATGGGGAATATTTAAATTGTCAACCATCCTCAGCGACGGCACAAAGTGTGGAAATGAGTTCAGGGAGGGCGGGAAGTAGTTTTGCCATTGAGGAGTCGAATGGCACTGCATCGCCTAATTCTTCAGCGACCTACAAGAAAATTGGCTCAAGAAACCCTACCTTAACGGGTTCGCCAAAGAACCAGGGTAGAAATCGCCCAGGCAGCAACACAAACTCAACGAAACACTCAAAAGAGTCACAAAAACAAAGTAAAGACAGCGCTGAAACATCCATCTCATCCCATACATACCCGCTAAGTGCCACATCGATGTCAGTGGTGGCCGGCCGCGGCATGTATGTGACCTGTACAAATCGTGGTCTCTTGGACCATGGCCATTCGGTTAAGGGTACATTTTATCCTCCTGTATCGAGTCTGGATGAGGATAAACACCATTTGAGCAGCCATACAACGGCAATGGCCCATGCCAACTCCTCCGGTGGCAGTGGCATGCATTTGGGTTATAGCTCACAGCATTTGCATCAAAGCGACATCAATTTTTCGGCGCTAGATTCGACGCGTCTCGCACAGACAGGTGTGTCACCATCCGGAGATTATTTGGTAGCCTCCAATGCCTACAACGTAAGCCCAAATGTTACCTATGAGGATTATTTGCGTTATACCTCCAGTGCCCATGCAGCCGCTGCCCATGGATCCCAATTTGTCGATAGTGATTACGTCTCGGCCTCAAGTGAAAATAATGCCGGCAATATTGAAGATGAAACTCTCAAGAGTATCAATGCTTTGAAGCAGACCAAATATCCCGACACCAATCACAATTACGACAGCTATGAAACCTTCAATCCCATGGTGGTATCTACCTCCAGTGGTAGCTATTATAGTCAGTTGCCTTACTCGTTGGCTGGGCAATCGTTTCCCCTCCAACTGGCCCTGCCATTGCAGCAGAGTTCATTGGCAGGGGGAGTTTATGGTCAGGTCGCCTCTCACAATCAAAATCAAAGTTACCTTCATTATAATCATTACAGTCCCCAGTTGTCGACACAAATGTCACACATCGGGGATAGCGGTAACAATTCACCCTCGCAACTTGGTGGCGGAATCAATATGACACAAACAACTTCCAGTGCCGCAACAACGCCTTCCTTGCCCGCCAGCCTTGTACAGTCGTCAACAACGTCTTCCTATGCCAGCCATCCGCACAATCATCATCATCACCATGCCCATAATCACCATCATCATCCGCAAGTTTTCGGAACGGTTCCAAACTCGGGCACAGTTTTGGGTGTGGGAGAAATGCTTATCGAATCGAGGCGTGATGAAGAAATTAGTAATATTTTGGCTGGTGTACGCAAAACCTGCTATAGTAATTGATTTTATTTGGAGAGTTATTCCGCAATTTTCGTTGGACCACAACATCCTGCGTTATTCAACTTAATCGCATATAAAACATTTTTTTTTGCTTTTCTTCTTTAATTTATAAAAAATAAATTCATTTATACTGTATTAGTATCAATAGTAGTTGTAATCTTTTTTTTTTTTTTTTGTATGTGTGTAGCAAGTTTTGTTTGTATCATTCCACTCGTTCATGAGATATCCATCCCAGTATTGCATCTTGTTAAAAATGAAAATCTATTGTGTAAACGAATATTGTTTATTATGATATAAAGTGAATTTTGTAAATAAAAGAAAATGGATTAAACATATTTTGAATCAGTATTTTTATTTTTTATAAGGATAACGGAATGCGTTAAATTAGACTTTTTAAAGAAGCAGAATCATTTAATTGCTACTGTCAATCCTGCGTGCATCAAGCCCTTTGACGGAATGTGGGAAAAACTAGATTTGTTAAAGAAGCCATACCAAAAATATTCACTTTCTCACCAATATCCACTTTTTGACCCAGATATGCCGGAACAATAACTCCCACAAATGCGTAATATACACTGCAGAAGAATAATATTTGATACCAGCTATTGTACACAGCCCAAAAATACCTTTATCGAGATCGGATTAGGTTTGGATATAGCTCCCATATATATCTTCATCCGAATTCAGGTTTATTGTGCACCAAATGGCCAATATCAGTCCAAATGACCCGAATTTTGGCACATCCGATCGAACTCAGTCTAGAAGCAAGTACATCAAAAAATCGGTTGAGATATAGTTATAGCTGCCCTATATATGCTTCATCCGATTTGGCGTTAAAGTCCCTCACATGCGTAATATGTACTCCACAACAAATATGTTTGATATCGGACATCAGATACAGCTCGAAAATACCTCCGCCAAATTTCATCGATATCGGCTCAGATTTTTATATACTTTCGATACACATCTTCATTCGATTTTACGGTTATTGTGCACCATATATGTAATATCAGCCCAAATTGGATACATTTTTATACCCTCCGCCATACATAGTATGGAGGGTATATACAGGGTGAGATAAAAAAAAACTGCAACAAAGTTAAACGCCATAATTTTTACTTTTTTTAAATTATTTGAATGAAAGCAAAATATGTCGACAATAGCATCAAATTTTAGAATAAGTTTAGATTTGTTCGAATTGGTCACCTCTGGCACGATTTATGGTCTTCAAAAGGCCCATGAAACCGTCACACACTGCCCGAATGTTACTCAGCGGAATTTTGGCCCATTCACGGTGAAGCGCTTGCTTGATGTGATCGACACTTTCGTGTCAACCTTGCTTTCCAAAATACTCCAGACACAATAGTCCAATGGATTGGTATCCGGAGATTTTTATGGCCTGGAAATGAAGCGAGAAAACTCATTTTGTAACCATTCTTGGGTGGCGCGTGCTGAGTGCGATGGTGCTGAGTCCTGTTGGAATGTCCAAGGTCTGCGGCCAAATGTTTGCGTCCCCAAGGCTTTAATATACCCTCCAGAATATTTTCGCGATAATATTCGTCAGTTATTCTCAAGCCATGGTCGTTTAATACGAGCGGAGAGCGACCATCGGCTGTTATGGCGGACCACAACATCACCATGGTGGCAATCGAAGGTGCACATTTTCAGCTGACCTCTTTGCAAGTAAACACGATCATTTTGTTTCTTTACAAACTGCTGGAATGTTTTTCATCGGAGAAAACCAAATTCGGCAGTTCACCACTTTCGGCCAAGCGAAGTAACTATTTAGCTCTTCTGAGTCTATTTTCTTTCTGTTACGGTGTTAGTTCTTGCACTTTTTGCGATTTCAATGGCTTTACCCCGAGCTCATTTTTCAATATTTGCCGAATGGAATATTACTATATGTTCAGCTCACGTGCCATTTAGCTCCTTTACTTTTCGAACCATTTATGCTGATGTTGCTGTTTTCTTCCGTCCACTTCCTTGACATCGGTCTACGCTAAAAGTATCACGGTAACGAGCGATGGTACGAGAGTCAAAAAATTTATTTACATTTAAATGCCGGAGTGCTCTACCTGTGATTTTCCCGCCAAATATAAAGAAATCACACTATCACGCTTGAATTGTATCACGAACAACTTTTTTTCTGAAAAATTTTCAACAAAATGCTTTTGTACACTTGTAAACAATATAATGAGCTGTCACTGGAATAATGTTAAGAGCTGTCGGACGAGTTGCTTAGAAATGACATCGGTCTGAATTTGGTTGCAGTTTTTTCATCTCACCCTTCTTCTGGGCTGCATACTCTTACATACCTTTGTCAAATTTTATCGAGATCGGTTCAGATTTGGATATAATCTTTATCCGATTTCAGGATTTTTGTACACCAAATGACTAATATCAGCCCAAATGGACTGAACTTTGGGACTTCCGACGGAGTTTAGACTAAAAGCAAGTGCATCAAATTTTGAACTCGGTTCAGATAAAGCTATAGCTCCCATATATATGTTTCATCCGATTTGGCCTTAAAGTCCCTCACATGCGTAATATGCACTCCCAAACAAAGATATTTGATACCGGGCATCAGATACAGCTCTAAAATACCTCTGCCAAATTTCATCGAGGTCGGTTCAGATTCTTATATATATATACATATATATACATCTTCATCCGATTTTACGGTTATTGTGCACCATATATGTAATATCAGCCCAAATTGGATAAATATTTATACCCTCCACCATACATAGTATGGAGGGTATATAAGTTCGTCATTCCGTTTGTAACTCTTCGAAATAATAATTTTAGAACCAACAAAGTTATCAACGTAAAATTCTATGTCGATTTAACTGTCCGTCCGTCTGTTGTAATCACGCTCCAATCAAAACGTCTTCTGCCTGCAGGCAGGTCAAGTCACATTTTTCAATGGAATTGTCTGAAAATGCACACAAAAGTTCCTTATGAGTATTTTATCCCCTAGAAGATAATTTTCTATATAGATCCACTATATCGTATAGCCCCCTTATAAAGGTACACCCGATATTCGGTATTTTGATGATTTCAGCCAAATTTTTCAATGGAAAAATCCACAAAAGGAGTTCCTTGTGAATACATTACACCCTGAAAGAGAATTGTCTATATAGGTCCACCATATCATATATCCCCTACATAACGGTTCTCCCCGATATTCGGTATTTTGATGATTTTTGCGACGATATTCACTGGAACTGTTTCAAATTTCGTATATAAAGTTCGGAACAGTTACTACAGTCTATGACACAAATTAGTTATGCAGGACCACATCTTCGTATAACATCCATATAACGGTTTTCATTTGAGCGGTAATTCCCGACGGTTTTTTTTTTGAAAATTTTCCAGTTTATTTCAAGGGTATAGAAAGTTTGGCACGGCCAAGGTAAAGAAAACATTAGGGTAAAGAAAACATTAGAACCCATTATGACCCACAAATACCAATTTTTAGACATATTCATGGGAAAATGTGACAAAAACTCATCAAAATACCGAATATCGGGAGGTACCGCTATATGAGGCTTTACAAAAACGTGAACCTATACATACAATGTTTCGCCAAAGGAGCTAGAATTAAGACAAATAAGCGAAGAAATGTGGCAAAAATCATCAAAATACCGAATATCGGAGGTACTGCTATATGGGGCCTATACCAAACCGTGGAAATACATACATATGTTTCGCCACCGGAGCTTGAACCCATTAAACTCCATAAAATACTCACCACCAGATTTTCACCAACACCCTGTTACATATTTAACCACCACCATTGTAACGGAATTTCAACGCAATCAAAACACTTATACATCCCTGTTGACAAATGCCATTGTGAATGGTGCATCCGTAACGTTTCCATAAGGGATGTTCAAAAAGGAATTTCAGGAGCATGCGTTCAACGACGACTATGAAAATTTTTTTGGCAATGTAAGGCAAAACGAAGGATAGAAATCCACATTTTACACTAAATTTTTGTTGGCGTTAGTTACTTGTTATAACGTTACATAAAAAAAGAGTAAATATTCCATTGAAACATTTTATATTTTCAATAAAAAAAATCATAAAAATGTAGTTCAAGTTATTATCCTTTCGAAAATATGAATATTTTGTGTAGCATTTGAATATAAGCCGTAATTTTGACAACCTAAAAAAAAAACAATTTTACTACCATTTCAGTTTTTAGTGTTCACCAACCAAATCTCAAAATCCAAAAGAAAAAAAATTATAATTTGTATCGATTTCTATCTGTATGTCTGCCTGTCCATCTCAGCACTCATTGTTTGCTGGTTACGGTGCTACAACGGTCATTGTGTTGGAGAAAATGTCGTTTTTATTAATGGGCCAAATGTAAGCAGGAAAAAAGTGGATCAAAGCCATCATTGCAAAGGAGGAAAAAAAATGTATAACATTAGAAAAAAAATTGAAAAGATTTTCGAATTGGGGAAAATCAACGAAACCACGAAGTTATAATTGAAAAAATCAATTCCCCTGGTATTGGTTTTGGGGATAAAAAAGTATCCCTTTCATTTTATCCAAAAAGGTTTCCTTAAAGGAACCCCAAGAAAATTACTTAAATTTTGGCAATACCCCCACCCACAAAATTGGCCCCCTTTTGAAAGCATTATTCAACGCAACACAGTTGTCAGCATCGTAGTTGTAGTAGAGTAGAGCAGCAGTCAAACGCCAACGAAAGAAACATACAAAAGAGAACCAAAGCCACCTTCACCCCTGTTATCGCAACCCACCCTGCTTTACATCCTTTCATTGTTGTACATCGTCGCCGTCATCCATCCTTACATCCAACCATTCGAACTTCGTCTAGCATTGGAATTATTTAATCATGGCCTTTTTAAATAAACTGAAATCGGCACCCTTACCACCTTTGAAAAATATCCTCAATGTAGCCGTTCAGACTGCTCGCCAACATATGCCCGATAAGAAGGACTATGAACAACCTGGTGGTGGTAGACCGACAATGCCACAACAGCCCGACAGTACACAGGCCATGTTCCAGGGCGATGAGAATACCTATGGAACTACCGGTAAGTTTTAGAAAATTGAAATATTTTTTCGGAATTTTGTATTATTTTCGTATGTTTTTAGATGATAGACCGACAGAATTAAATCCCTTTCGCAATCCAAACGGTTGGATGGATGAAGGCGATGGCGGAGAGGCAAAAGGTGAAGGCTATCAAACGACCTCATTCAATGAATATGATGGACGATAT